CACCAGCGAGGATGCGGAGACGGAGAGCTCAGATCTGCCCTAGGACAGCCCGGAGGACCGAGGACAACTTACGTACACACACACACACACACACACACACACACACACACACACTAGAATATGAACTAGAGCCGAAGAAGAGGTTTTTGTCTATTTATAAGGTGCATTGAATGAACATACGTCCCACCTGTTAACTCCTCGCCACGGTGTGAGTGAGCCTTAGTGGAAGGCGTTTTCGCCCCTGCAAATACATGCTGGTGGACCTGACACGAGTGGGAGATGTTTACAATACATCCTGCTGTTCGCCCTAGTGGACTCTAGATGGCGCTCCGAACCAACCCACGCTCCTTTTAGACGCGATGTCCCAATCCCTTAGCCTTGGTGTATTGATTAATTTCTAGTCAAACCCTTCACAGGTGGGTTTTTAAATCTCTTTTGGCGAACAGAATAATTATCCCCGCTCGACAGACGATCATCCTGAAGCCACTAGCAGCCCCGAGACTACAGTAAACCCATTGGCCAGCAAGAACATGGGAGGAACAAACGAACGGTCCTGGGCCAAGTCGTGTAGGAAAATGCTGGCAGATAAATTCGTGGAATAGGAGAGTAAACAGGACAAGCTCTACCCTATGGTGGGGTGTGGAGAGTAGGGACCCAGAAAAAGGTAATAGTGTCCGTGACAAAGGTCACAACAGACACGGAAAGGAGGGGTCAGTTAGACACGGGGTCTAGACATAGATGTCGTTTTACAAAAGAACTTTTAAAATGCACTTTTTATTTTTATTTTTTAAATATCTACTTTTGCTGTATTTATTTATTTATCCTCGCCTGTGGATATTTTTCCCATTGGTTTTTAGAGAGAGTGGACGGGAGAGGGAGAGACAGAGAGAAATACTGATGTGAGAGAGACTCATTGTTTGGTTGCCTCCCACATACCCTGACCAGGGCAGGGAGCCTGCAACCCAGGTAAGCACCCTTGACCGGGATCGTACCCAGGACCCTTCAGTCTGCAGGCCGACGCCCTATCCACTGAGTCAAACCTGCTAGGGCTTAAAATTTATTTTTAAATATATTTTTATTGATTTCAGAAAGGAAGGAAGAGGGGGAGAGCGATAGAAACATCCTGCACCCCCCACACAGAGGATCGAGCCCACAACCCAGGCATGTGCCTCGTCCGGGAAAATAAACAGTGACATCCTGGTTCATAGGTCGATGCTCCACCACTGAACCAAGCTGGCTGGGCCAAAGTCACTTTTAAGATACTGAGTGACTTCTCTTCTTTTTAAAAGTAAACTCACCGCAGTGTGGAGGATGTGACACAAGGAAAACGTATTTGTGCAGAGATGGCAGCACTGGCAATGGCTCTTCGCTAACAGGGAACAAAATTATGAGATTCCTGGAAAGGCATATCAGTGTGACAATAATGATAGTAATAATAAATCTATTATAGTCAACACTATGCGCTCATAGGGGTAAAAGGACTTAAAGGGTTTGTAATTTTGCCATGTGACTGAGATCAGCCTCGCACCCTGATTGTCACACACACACACACACACACACACAACCCCCAAAGCTGACTGCACTAAAGTGTAGGCTGCAGAAAAGTCCAGCAGAACAGACCCCTACCATGGCTCTCATGAATGCAAAGCCTAGATCGTTTAACTAATTACATTAAAACCGCGCAGTTGCCAACCAGTCATTGCAAAGAGTTTTAAGTAAGAATTAATTTTTTTCAGAACTGAATTCTAACCTTTAAGGTCCCCAAATCTCAGAATAAACAAAAAAATTTTAAAAAAGAAAAGAAAGTTCCCAAATCTACTTGAATTGCTGGAAGGTAATTCCACAGGTTCGCTTTGGCCTCACCCTCGCCCATCCGAAGGCCTTCACAGAGCAGGATGCTGTTTGCTCTCGGGGCCATTAGGTGGCGCGAAATCTCAAGCAGCCCTGGGCACAGCTGGGGTACAGGGTGCCGCTAGGCCATCAATCATTAACTTTGGGTTGACATTGTATGACGCAGGAGATTTTTTTACATCTAAACTAAAAGAATGAGGATTTTTATTAAGCATTGTAAGTTGCATTCAATAGCCTTTGATATAGCACACCACAACCATCTACAATCAGTCAAACCCAACAGCAGTTCATTCTTGCACAATCCATGAGTGAGGGCAAAACCCCCTTCAACTCTCGGCGAGAGCCTACTCAGGTCTTGCGGGCAGGGATCGGGAGTTGCATCTCGATTCTGATCACTGATGTGTGATGATGATGAGGACACTGAGCACCAGGAGGATGACATGGGAACGGGCAAGGAGTGATCCAAAGGACATTGCTTAGAAACATTAACAAAAACACCAAAACGATATCCGAACACCTGCTTCTGCTAAGTTCTCCAATATAAGCCATTTCTTTCCCTGCTACAGAAGGGGGGGGGGGGTGGTATTAAAGATCAAAGGGATTTTTGTTTTGTTTTCCACAGAATTTCCTATTTTGCTAATATGAAGGCATAAAACAGCAACAAGAAACAGAAATGCATACAGGTGGGCTGGAAGGGCTCCAAGGGGAAAAAGGGGACATGTGTTAAAATTGGGTATACATTGTTTTTATCACAATGTGGCACAACCCTGAAACTGTTGGTGTAAACACAGCAGTTAACTGAATACTTCCTGTGCCCCAGACAGTCCACGTCCAAGTCTCACTCCTTCCTTACCACAATCCCATAACCCCATTCCAACCGCTACCACCTCACCAGTGAGGACATGGAGACGAGAGCCCAGATCTGCCCTAGGACAGCCCTGAGGACTGGTGACAACTTATGTAAACACACACACACACACACACACACACACACACTGAAACATGAACTAGAGTCGAAGAGAAGATTTCGGTCTATTTATAAAGTGCATTAAATTAAAATACACCCACCTATTAACTCCTCGCTAATGCGCTTAATGAGTTTTAGGTAAAAAATAAAATAATTTAAAAAGAAACGGGCGGGAGTGAGGCCACAGTGCAGGGAAGGGCCAGGAGGGAGCAAACAGGCCTTTGGACTCAGCTGACATTTGCCCTGAGAAGCTAACTTGTCAATGGGACCAGGAAGTGGTGAGTCTTGATCCCTTCGCCTGCTGCTCCTGTTGTTACGGCCACAATAGGACGTCTCTACTGTTCACAGTCCCAGGGGCTCCGGAAACACGGGCGCCAGAGGGCCTCAAGGGGGTGGGGGTTGCAGTTGGCTTCACAGTCTAATCTCCCCCCTCCAAAAAAATATATATGTATATATATATATATTTTTTATTTCAAAGAGCAAGGGAGAGGGAGAGAGAAACATCAATGATGAGAGAGAATCATGGGTCGACTGCCTCCTGCACACCCCCTACTGGGGATGAAGCCGGCAATCAGGACCTGTGCCCTGACAGGGAATCAAACCGTGACCTGCTGGTTTGTAGGTCGATGCTCAACCCCTGAGCCACGCCCGCTGGGCTTCAGGCTAATCTTGATCACTCATTCCCTCGCTCACTCACCGCTGCATTCACTCCACACCTAAATAGTGGGAAGTGCGGACAGCAGGCAGTTATCTATGCACATCCAGGCTGGAGCTCTGTCTGTGAAGAACAACCAGCAGGAGCCGCACTGACACGTCCTGAGCGTTTTATCTCTGACAAACCATTGTAGTGGTTTTGGTTTTCCTCATTTTGCTTATCTGCTTTCAACTTTTCTCCCATAAACAGTAAGTCAAGTGAGTCTGTACGTCAATTGCTACGATGAGCCACACGACGCGCGGGCCGTGGGCAAAGGGAAAGTGATGGACGCTGTAAGGCGCTGGAGCTGCGCTGAGATGGGGGCTGAGCTGCAGCTGCAAAGCTAAGACCCCCGGCGGCCGTGGACATGACACTCGGATGGACGCGGCGGGCAGGGGCGGGAGCTGTGTGATCGCCCAGCCCAGTCCCGCCCCAGAGCAGGTAGGAGCCCTTCGCCCGTTGACTGCGCATCAGAGGGTGTGGGTGGGTGTGTGGGGGGGGGGGGGGGGGGGGGGGGGGGGAGGGTCTTAAACAGACGAGCAGGCCCCGCTGCTGCCTTTGCGGTTCAGTAGTTTGGGATCCGCCGGGAATTGGCCATTGATTGACAGGTTCCAAGTGAGGATGATGTTCCTGGTCCAGGAACCACAGTAGAAAATCCGGGCTTTAAAAGGTCCAACTCCCGCCCGGCCCGCGTTGCTCAGTGGGTAGAGCGTCGGCCTGCGGACTGAAGGGTCCAGGGTTCGAGTCCGTCAGGGGCACGTGCCTCAGTTGCAGTCTCCTCGGGTGAAGATTATTTAAAAGGGAAAAAAAGTTTCAGCTCCCAGCATCCCTCTTGCTTTCGGGTCTCCCCAGGTAGGTGATCCGGAGTTGCTAGGGCACCTGCCTGAGAGGAGCGCATCTTGGGGGAGCCCGCCCACACCCGCAGCTGCGCCGCGCTCCCCCCACGCTTCCTTGGAAAATGTTCCTCTGCATCGAGATGACCGGCTCCTGACCCCGCCTTCCGGGGACCCCCCTGGAACCAGGCCCTTCCGGGGGCCCTGCCTGGACCCCTGCCCGCTGCGGGCGCCCTCCGGGCCGAATTCTCCAGGTCGCTGTTCTTTGCCCCCCTGCATGGTGTCCCCGCTCCCTCCTAAAACATATAATAAATAAAATAATAAGAATTCCGCCCGGCAGGCGGGGCTCAGTGGTTGAGCGTCGACCTAGGAACCAGGAGGTTGTGGTTCGATTCCTGGTCAGGGCACAGGCCCGGGTTTCGGGCTCCATCCCCGGTGGGGGCCTTGCAGGAGGCAGCCGATCTATGAATCTCTCACCATGGACGCTTCCATCTCTCCCTCCCTTTCTCTCCGAAATCAATTTTTAAAAAATAAAACAGGAAAGTGGTTACACGTCCTTTCCCGGGTCAGCAACCTGCCCTGGGCTTGGAGTCTGGGACGCAGCGGATCCGTCCCAGGGCGTTCCCCACGCGGGCTCGGGGGCAGGAAGACCAGGCCGAGGGCGGCACACGCTCCCGTGGCCGGAAAGGGCCTGCGCGGGCCAGGAACTTGCAGGCGGCGATGGCCGCGGAGTGACTGCTCCGGGCACCGAGTCCCCGCGCGCCGCCCGCGATGGGCCCGCCGGCCGGGCGCGCGCTGCTCCTGCTGCTCGGGGCGCTGGCGGCGCTGGAGGCGCCCGGGGTGCGGGCCGCGGACGCGCAGGCCCGAGCGCGTGAGTGCGGTGGGGGCGCGGAGGAGGGGGGCGCGCTGAGTTTGCGGGGAGCCGTCGGCCCCGCGCAACCCCCTCCCCAACCTTCCCGGGAGGACCGGGCCGTGGGGCGCCCAGCCTGGTCCTCACCCACGGTCCCCGCCCTGCGGATCGCGCGCAGCGCCGTCCCCCCTTCCCCCCCCTCGACCCCGAGTGGCTCCCGGAGCCCGAGCTCGGCAGCAGGTTCCTAGCGAGTCTCGGGTTTGCGTCTCTCCTGCCGGTTGCGTCCCGTTTCCCGGCCACCCGCCCTGGACGCGGCCACCGCGCCCTCGATGTGTCCTTGCGGGGCGCGTCCAGGGCGGGGGGCGCGGGGGGCGTGTGCGCAGGCGGACGGCGGGGGCCTGAGCTCGGCACCTGGGCTGGGCGCCCCCCCGCCCCGCCCCCCGTTAGGAATCTGTGCGGCGCTTGACTGTTACTCCGCCTGGAAACACAACTTCCTCTTATTTGGGGGCTGAAGTTCGGCTCTGGGTCCAGGGGGCAGGGCCCAGGGTGCTGCCCGCGCGGGGCCGCGTCCGCTCCGCTCTGCGGAAGTCGGGGCTGGTTCAGGCGCTGATTTCACGGGCGCTCGGGGGGGGGCGGGGAGGGGAGGACTCCCCGGACCCCGAGACTTTAGGGATCGGGTTTCCTGGCGCCGAGGAAGGACTAGGCTAGTTTCCCAGGGGCCGAGGGCGAGCCTGCGGGGGCACAGGCAGAGGTGCGTCCATGCGCCCCTGGGTCCGCCCTGACCTTCCTGCAATGTGGGCACCCCCTGCCCCCCCAGCCCCCTCCGCCGTGAGAGGTCAGAGGTCAGCTTGGCCGGTGGTCGCCGGGGCTCCTGACCTTCGCGGTGGGCGTGGCTGGAGGCTGCTGCTCAGCGCGTCTCGGCCGCCGGCGGCGCTAAGTGCTCTGAGCACCGGCTCCCTGCTCGGTGCTGGGCCCCGGCCTCAGCCTGGCCTCGGGAAGCCTGTCCGCCCGGCCGTGCCCGGCAGCGGGGTGGCGGCCACACTCGGCACAGGGAGGGCCCGCGGCGGGAGCGGCGGGACAGGCGCTGGGAGGGAGGGAAGCGCCCGCATCTGCACGGCGGGGCCCCGGGACCCGGGTGGGAGCTGGTTCGCAGCCCCGGGCTCCCGCCGCGCCCCGTCCCGTCCCCGGGCCCCAGCCGCCTCTTGCCTCCCCAGGGCCGCACTCGCTGCGCTACCTGCTGATGGGCGCCACGGAGCCGGACCTGGGGCTGCCGCTGTTCCAGGCCGCGGGCTTCGTGGACGAGCAGCTGTTCGTGTTCTACGATCACGAGAGTCGCCGCGCGGAGCCCCGCGCCCCGTGGGTCAGGGCGGCCGGCCCGCTGTGGCTGCAGCTGAGCCAGAGCCTCAAAGGCTGGGACCACATGTTCACGCTGGACTTCTGGACCATCATGGACAACCGCAACCACAGCTCGGGTGCGGGAGGGCGGCGGAGGGGAGGCCGGGCCGGGGAGGTTCTGGGCAGGAAGGACATTTGGGGTCCCGGGGAGGCAGGAAGGAGATTTGGGGTGCTGGGGAAGGAAGGAGATTTGGGGTGTTGGGGGAAGGAAGGAGATTTGGGGTGCTGGGGGCAGGAAGGAGATTTGGGGTGTTGGGGGAAGGAAGGAGATTTGGGGTGCTGGGGGAAGGAAGGAGATTTGGGGTGTTGGGGGAAGGAAGGAGATTTGGGGTGCTGGGGGAAGGAAGGAGATTTGGGGTGTTGGGGGAAGGAAGGAGATTTGGGGTGCTGTGGGAAGGAAGGAGATTTGGGGTGCTGGGGCAGGAAGGAGATTTGGGGTGCTGGGGGAAGGAAGGAGATTTGGGGTGCTGGGGGCAGGAAGGAGATTTGGGGTGCTGGGGAAGGAAGGAGATTTGGGGTGCTGGGGGCAGGAAGGAGATTTGGGGTGCTGGGGCAGGAAGGAGATTTGGGGTGTTGGGGGAAGGAAGGAGATTTGGGGTGCTGGGGGCAGGAAGGAGATTTGGGGTGCTGGGGGCAGGAAGGAGATTTGGGGTGCTGGGGAAGGAAGGAGATTTGGGGTGCTGGGGAAGGAAGGAGATTTGGGGTGCTGGGGGGCATGGAGGAAGGAAGGAGTTTGCTTCCTGAGGTCCCTGGGTCCTGGGGATGGGGGAGAGAGCCGCCTGCCCCTTTGGTTCCTTCAGTAACGAATCTGGGGTGTTGCCAGGGCCCCACACGCTGCAGGTGGCCCTGGGCTGCGAGGTGGGGGCGGACAACAGCTCCAGCGGCTTCTGGAAATACGGCTACGACGGCGAGGACCACCTGGAGTTCTGCCCGGAGACGCTGAGCTGGAGAGCCGCCGAGCCCGGGGCCTGGGCCACCAAGATGGAGTGGGAAGAGAACGCGATCCGGGCCAGGCAGAACCGGGCCTACCTGGAGAGGCTCTGCCCTGAGCAGCTGGGGCGGCTGCTGGAACTGGGGACCGGGGTCCTGGACCGGCAAGGTATGGCGGGGCGCCGTGGAGGGGGTGCGGGCACAGCTGGCGCTGGCGTCTCCAGGCGGCCAAGGCGGTGCGGCTCCCGGCGGAGCTGAGGTTCCTGCTCTAAGGTCACCACCCTTTGCTGGTTTGTTCATCCTCACCCGGGGATGTTTTCCCCTCGCTTTTTTAGAGAGAGTGGAAGGGAGGGAGGAGAGAGAGAGGAGAGAGGGACTGGTTGCCTTCTGCAGGCACTCCTACTGGGGCTGGGATCAAACCTGTAGCCCAGGTACGTGCCCGCGGCTGGAAATCAACCCGCAGCCTTAGGCGCTGCCGCTCTGACCACAGACCCACCCCAGCCAGGGCGGCTCCACCGTTTCCGTGGGACCCTCACACGGCCATGAGTCCTGGCTGTCATTCCGGGTTCACCTTGCAAGTAGCCAACGATGTATCTGCTCTCAATTTAACCAAGAACCTTGGGCCTGCGAGCATGTGTGCCTTTTAGGATCAGAAACGTCAAATATCACAGGAAAACCAAAGAAACAAGAAATTACCCGGCGGCGGGGGGTGGGGGGCGGGGGCGGGGGGGGGGCGAGGAGGCAGCCAGTCAGAGTGGCCCCAGCCTTGAGGCCAACACAGGTTCTCACAGCGCGTGGCCATGGGCCCTGCCGGCCACTGTCTTACAAGAATACCTCCGGCCCTTCCTCTCCCTCTCCCTTCTTCTCTCTCTAAAAATCAATAAAAACACATGAAAATAGTTACATATATTAAAAGAATACTTGCTGGTTGAGCCAGGTGAGATTGCCGGCAGGCGCATTCAGTCATTTTCATGCACGTGAAGGTGGTTTTACCGGATTCAACCTAATAGGCTCACAGAGCGGAAGACGGGCGACGGGTGGGCATCCGACAGGAGGGACAGCGCCCCAGGCTGAGGGGCATGACTCCTCCCGGGACACGCCTCAGAGAGCATCTTGGAACATTTTTAAAAAAAATCCTCACCCGAGCCCTGACCGGTTTGGCTCAGTGGATGGAGCATCGGCCTTCGGACTAAAGGGTCCCAGGTTTGATTCCAGTCAAGGGCATGTGCCTGGGTTGCGGGCACATCCCCAGTAGGGGGTGTGCAAGAGGCAGCTGATCGATGTTTCTCTCTCATCGATGTTTCTAACTCTATCCCTCTCCCTTCCTCTCTGTGAAAAATCAATAAAAAACAAAAAAAATCCTTACCCGAGGATATTTTTCCATTGATTTTTAGGGAGAGTGGAAGAGAGAGGGAAAGACAGAGAGAAACATCGATGTGAGAGAGACACATCAATGGGTTGCCTCGTACACCCACCCCAACCAAGGCCTGGGCCTGGGCAGCCACGGTACATGCCCTTGACTGGAATCGAACCTGTGACCCTTTGGCCCGCAGGGCGATGCTCTGCTCACTGAGCCACACCGGCCAGGGCTTGGCACGTTGGGGGGACACACGTGGGTGTCTGCAGCGGGGCCTGCACAGGGTATCCTTCCTCCCACACGGAGCAGAAGGGAAGTGAAAGTCGGGGTGCTCCTGGGGAGGGTGGCGGGGTCCCCTCCCCACACGTTCCTCCTTCCCCCAGTGCCCCCCTCGGTGCGGGTGACGCGCCGTGTGGCCTCGGCAGCGACCACTCTGCGGTGTCAGGCTCTGAGCTTCTACCCCCCCAACGTCACCGTGACGTGGCTGAAGGACCGGCAGCCCCTGGAGGCCAAGGACGTGGAGCTCGGGGACCTGCTGCCCAACGGGGATGGGACCTACCAGGCCCAGGTGGCCCTGGCCGTGCCCCCTGGGGAGGAGCAGAGATATGCCTGCCAGGTGCAGCACCCCGGCCTGGAGCAGCCCCTCGCTGCCACCTGGGGTACGGACCAGCCGGGGCAAGGACACCCATCAAGAATGGGACAGAGGGGTCCACATGGCAGGAGGGGATGCCCTGGGAGGGGCAGGTGCTCTGGATGGGAAGGGTGCCCTGGGCGGGAGGGGTGCCCTGGATGGGAGGGGTGCCCTGGATGGGAGGGGTGCTCTGGATGGGAGGGGTGCCCTGGGCAGGAGGGGTGCCCTGGGCCCAGCTTCCCCGGTGCCCACTGGCTGCTGCGTTTCAGAGCCCTCCATGTCGGGCTCCCTGGTCTTTGGCGTCATCTGCGGGACCCTCATGAGTGTCATCATCGTCATCTTCTTCACTGGGGTTTTGTTCAGATTCCTGCGGAGGAGGCGGGCTTCCCGTGAGTAGGAAGATGGAGGAAGTCTGCCCAGGGTGTGGGGCTTCTGCAGGACATGGGCAGGGCCGGGGGTGGGGAGGGCCCAGGGCACCTGCTCCCTGGAGGCACTGGCTCCCCTGGGGAAACAGGAATGACAGGGTTTCTGCAGAAGGAAAGCTCGACTCCCAATAGGGGGCGTGCAGGAGGCACCCGATCCATAATTCTCTCTCATCATTGATGTTTCTCTCACTCTCCCTTCCTCTCTGAAATCAATAAAAACATATAGACTAGAGGCCCAGTCCACAAAATTCGTGCACTAAGGGTTGGGGTGTGAGGGTCTGTTGGAAGGGTGGTCATCCCTCAGCCAGGCCTGTGCCCTCTCACAGTCTGGGAACCCTCAGGGGATGTCTGGCTGACGGCTTAGGCCCACTCCCCACAGGCCTAAGCCGTCAGTCAGACATCTTTAGTGCTGCCATGAAGGTGGGAAAGGCTCCCACCACCACTATTGCGCTCGCCAGCTGTGAGCCCGGCTTCTGGCTGAGCAGGTCTCCCCCCTGTGGGAGCGCACTGACCACCCGGGGCAGCTCCTGCAATGAGCATCTGCCCCCTGGTGCTCAGTGCGCATCATAGTGACTGGTGGTTCTGCCTTTGGTGGATTTGCATATTAGCCTTTTATTATATAGGATAGGATATTTTAAAAATGTATTCCTTGGGGAGGGAGAGGTCAGAGTTGAGGTGAGCAGATGAGGGAGGTGAGGGAGGGGGAAGGTGATGCCCAGATTCTTGTCTCTGCAGGAGGCACCCTGGGGAGCTATGTCCTCACCGACCGTGAATGAGGTGCAGCCTGCAGACCCCGTGGGAAGGAGCCGGTAGGAGACTCAGAGCGGGCGCCCGGGTGACCTTGGTGCTGGAGGACAGAGCTGCACCCGCAGATGGGAGCTGGCCCAGGAACTCCAGCTCTCTGCCGTCCCCTGTTTAGGTTTTGGGTTCCTACCTGCCGACACCCTGCGGCCCTGTGGGTCCCAGGCTGCAGGGAGAGCCTGCCTCAGTTTCCCGTCCCCTGCGACTCCCTCCGCAGCGAGGCTACTGAAGTTTGCTGGACTCGGGATTCTCTGGAAGCTGCGAGAAGAGCCTGCGGCATCTCTCAGGGCATCTGTCCTCCCACTGGGAATGTGCGCAGGTGCACGCACTTCCCGGACCCATTTCCTTTCGATCCTCCCTGTCTCTGTCCTCCAGTGGCCCCTCTGTCCCCGCCCTCTGGTCTCCTCTATGGAGAGGACCTGGGTCCTTACACCGGCCCTTGACCATGAATCAAACACGCGACCCTTTGGTGCAAGGGGTGACCCTCTAACCACTCAACAACACTGGCCAGGGCTGGCCTGTGCTTTCTTGCTGCTGCTGCATATATTTGGTTGCAAAGCTGTGGCACGAGGCCTTCTGTCTCAGACGGCAGGTACCTCACGAGACTAAATATAGCTCAAAAGTGTGCTGGTAGGTACTCAATTTGGGCAAAGAGATCTCAACTATTTTTTTTTCAGTTGGATAAAGATACATGTAACATGTGCTTGCTATAGAAACGTTGAAAAGGAATTAACTTGAAACTGTCATTCCACTAGCCAGTGATAATCCCTATGAATAATGTGTGCTCCTCAGTCTTATTGCTGTATGAAAATATAAAAAGCATCCAACGCACATATTTTAATAAATGCATGATGAACTGTGTTGAGTACTGCATGATTTTTTCTGCTGGGTTTTTCCGCCTTACATATATATACTTACTAGAGGCTCGGTGCATGAAAATTCGTGCACTCGGTGCGGGGAGTCCCTCAGCCCGGCCTGAGCCCTCTCCCAGTCGGGGAGCCCTCGCTCCTTACCACCCGCCTGCTCGCTGCTCCTTAGCGCTGACTTGGAGGTGGGAGAATCTCCCGCCACCACAGCTGCCTGGCTTCTGGCTGAGCAGAGCTCCCCCTGTGGGAGCGCACTGACCACCAGGGGGGGCAGCTCCTGCGCTGAGTGTCTGCCCCCTGGTGGTCAGTGCGCATCATAGCGACCGGTCATTCCGCTGTTCAGTCAATTTTCATGTTACCCTTCTATTATATAGGATTATGTTATTTGGGGTACTGCTTCTAAATTCCTTACAATTTGTTTCATGGACTATTTTCATTAAACCCTGATAGATGACTTCACTGTTTTTCTTTGCTCCAGAAATATTACCATCTAAATTGCAACACCTTGGTTATTTTGTTAACTCCCAGAAGGGTCTCAGGTCTGGGCAGCTCTTGCTAAGTGTTCACATGCACAACAGTGGTTTGCAGACGCAGCTCTAACCAGATGGGCTTGACCTGACCCCACCCGGTAGGTTCCGCCAACTGCGGAACGAGGCATCCGCATGGAGCGGACCAGACCGTGTGTGTGCCTAAGCCTTGGCTCGGCCTCCCTTTACTTGCTGGAAGGAACGGAAACTGCCGGAGGACAGCGTCTCCCTCCGGAGCAGAGCACCCCAAGCGGGAACGCCTGGCGTCCAGTAACGATCTTCCCTCCAACCCATGCTGGACGCACAGGGACACATGCTTTCGCTGTACATGTATGTACATGTATGTATTTCTCCTGTCCCCACAGCTTCGGCCAAGAAGCATCCTTCTACCCCCTTCAGGATGTGTTACAATGAACTAGGCAGCCGTTTGTTTCCTATTGGCGTTATCTCACAGGCTGAGGTTTCTAGAAACACCCTCCCTAGTCTTTACAGGAACACAGTTGTGAACCATCTGCCACTGGGACCTGTTCATTGTCCTTTTTTTTACAGCTGACGTTAAAAATCTCCATTGTCTTTCAGTCTTTCTTAGCTTAATTTTTCTGGCCTCGTTCATCAGTTCCTCAGGTCAACTGCATTTGAAAAACCAAAACTTTACCTTTTAAAATCTTTTTTTTTTTTTTTTCCAGAGAGGAAGGGAGAGGGAGATAGAAACATCCATGAGTCATTGACCTGCACGCCTCCCAGTAGGGATCGAGCCCGCAACCCCGGCCTGTGTGGTGACCGTGACCTCCTGGTTGATAGGTCAAAGCTCACCCACTGGGCCAGGGCAGCCAGGCTGAATGCTGTTAACTTAGTTGGCTTCTGGCAAAACCGCCTACTAAGCCTGGTATTGTGGAGATGGGCGCCCTCTGGTGGTCACAGTCCAACAGCACAGTCCTGAGACACCCGGAGCTGGGGCTGGGGCCCTGGAGGTCATCGCTGGTGAAGAAAAGCGATGAAATTGGAGGAAATAAGAAATGTCACCAGCTCTGCGAATCGCTGGACTCAGACAGAAGGCAAACAAGACTGGCCATCTGTGCCCAGTTGGTGAAGGGCTGCTGGGAGGTATAAGCAAAAATGTGTTATATAATAACAGCATGTACTGGAGGCATTCTTTACACACACACACACACACACACACACACACACACACACACACACACTTAAAAAAAACAAGACACCTGCCGGACAGTGTGGCTCAGCGCTGACCTATAAGCCAGGAGGTCGAGGATCGATTTCCCATCGCAGCACAGGCCCCGGGTGCAGGTCCCAATCAATGATTCTCTCTCATCACTGATGTTTCTATCTCTCTCCTCCCTTCCTCTCTGAAATCAATATATATATATATATATATATACACACATATATAAAGAAAAAATTGGTAATGTCTTTATACTAAAGGAGAAAAACATTTTTAAAAAGCCAAAATTCTTCCAGTTAGTTTGTTTGTGTGTGGGGGGGGGGGGGGGGGGGAGGGGGGGGATAGGGGAAGGGGGAGAGCCAAAATTCAAAAGGCCAGGGTGTGGAGTGGGAAAAGTTTATTGATCTGCAAGTCTCCAGCCTCGGAGGCCCGGGACCTAATGGGCCTCACCTCCGGCCTCTGTATTAGGGTTTTTAAGGTTCAGGGGGAACAGGATGCGGAAGCCTGGCGGGCACGTTTCGATGGGAGGACCTTGGAACTTGGCTCTTTATGGTCAGAGGCCTGGACAGTGGACCTCGGCTTCTGAAAGGGCTCCCCGTTTAGGTTCCCGGCCCGTCTGGAGTCCGTGGTTTCGGGTGCGGCGGGTGGTCAAAGTTCTCTCCTCTGCGCATGCGCGGCGGCAGGCCTTGCGGTTGGGTCTGTTGTGTCTGAAACCTGCGCAGGGCGGACCCTCTGAGCTGCTCCTGCGGTTACAGTGTGTGTGTGTGTGTAGGCGGCGTTGGGGCGCGGGGCGCGGGGGGGGGGCAGTGAAAGTCGGGGCCCTAACAACTCTCAGTTGGGGGAGGAAGAATGTAACCACTGGGGCAGCTCTAAAGCGATACAAAAAGCATGTGCCACGCAGAGCTTCCTCCCTGTCCCCGGGTCATTCTGTCCCGCCCCCCTGCCCCCGCCTCCCCTCTCTGACGGGAGTCTGATGATTGTGGTCCTTCTCAGGCCAGTCTTGGGTGCGAGGGGCCACATGCTAACCTGACTCAGGGAAGGCCTGCGTGACAGCCTTGCAAACTCAAGACTTAAAGTCACCACAAAGGACGGTCTGAAATTAAAATCTTTTAGTTAAAGAGAAGTTTATGGTGGGTGTCAAGTCCCAGGCCAGTATCTTCGCCGACAAAGATCATCTTCGATGTTTACTGAGCCTGTAGTCTTTTTGCATCTAAGATAACACCTGTGAAAAGTCAGGGTAACTTGTAACTTCCCTTTTCTGGACCCCCAGGGCATAACGAATAGGAATGGAAGCACAAATCCCTCATGGTTATTGTTATCATGTTAATTGTTGACCCTTAACTACCCTGTACCCACCTGTGCAGAGGAAGCATGTGTCCATCATTTCACTTTTTATCCAATCCCTCCCTAATCCATCACCAGTGGATTTCTGTCACCCACTTACCTCTCCTCCTTGGGTTGTAATGTATAAAACAAGGTGCAAAGCTGCCATTCTCCGGAGCACGATCCCAATCCACTGAGATCCTGCTTCCCGGCCATTGTCTACAGTTTGGCTCAAATAAACTCAAAAAATTCTTTACAGGTTTGCATGTTTGTTTGTTTTTTACATTAACAGTCTCATTCTAAGTTTCCAAAATAGCCATTTATTTATTAACCAGAATGGGGAGAGGTGTCTCCTTTTTTTTTTCTTTCAACTGGAGTGACTCTTTCAGTGGGAAATTTCAAAAATTGCTTAGCCTTGTTTACAATACCAATAACCTCATCAAAGGCCTCTCAGGGGAAGGCCCTGAGGGCTTTGTGATGACCTTAATCACGTATTAGCCCTCCCCAACACTTAATCCCCAGTTCTACAAAATGTTTATTCTAGTCTCTAAAAAGGTTGAAAGGGATTAATAAAGGAGGAAAGGGAGCTGGTTAGGAATTGCAGGCAAAGCTGTGCGGGCCAGAAACAGGGTCCAGACAACTGCTTGTTGGAGTTTAGCGCTATGCTCCCGACTCAGGCCTTACAGACAAAGGAGTCAACTTGTAAATGTTCAAATGGTGAAGAAGAGGAAGAGGGTTTAATGTTCAGTTCTTTGTCAGCCTTTCCATCTGTCCAAACACTAGACCCTTGGGCCCAGAGCTTCTTCATGGCCAGGCTTACACTTTCTCCAAAAGAGAAAAAGCCGTCAGAATACGTCTTTTAAAACAGGAATATTACAAGGACTAAATGGAAAAGTCCCCCACCGACAAATCCACCATCCTTACTACGTCTACATCCCCCAGGGAACCATTACATACTGTACTCGTTTCTCAGTGGAAATAAAAAGATTGAGCGAACCTTTTCCCGCGTCATACAACAGGAAAATGGACCCAGTTTATCAACTAGCACGAAAAAAACATTCAGACAGAAAAGAAACGAAAGCCTTTCAAGGAAATCTGCTCCTCCCCTTCCAGCCCGAATAAGCCCAGGTTCATTGGCCAATCACAACGTTGACATGTTCATCTCTTCCCCTCGCTCCGCCCCCGCGATGACCTAATTTAGAAAAAAAACAGCGCGGCGCCTGTGGTTCTCAATCAGGTCCGCACACATTCTATTTAAAGGGCTGCGTGGAGCGCGAACCTTCACTGCAACTGCAGCCATGTCCGGTCGCGGCAAAGGCGGGAAGGGCCTGGGCAAGGGCGGCGCCAAGCGCCACCGCAAGGTGCTGCGCGACAACATCCAGGGCATCACCAAGCCCGCCATCCGGCGCCTGGCGCGGCGCGGCGGCGTCAAGCGCATCTCCGGGCTCATCTACGAGGAGACGCGCGGGGTGCTCAAGGTCTTCCTGGAGAACGTGATCCGCGACGCCGTCACCTACACGGAGCACGCCAAGCGCAAGACGGTCACGGCCATGGACGTGGTCTACGCGCTCAAGCGCCAGGGCCGCACCCTCTACGGCTTCGGCGGCTGAGCCCGTCCCCCGCCCCGTCTCCCCCCAAAGGCCCTTTTCAGGGCCGCCCACCCCCTCCCGGAAGAGCTGTGCGCTGTGGTGCTCGGTTACTTGTGGGCACTTATGTTTGATGTCTGCGCGGCTTAATCTTCGGTTCGCAGGGCGCCGGCGCCCTCTGCTCAGCGGGAGGGGGCGGGGGCTTCTGGGGTGACCCGCAGGAGCAAGCAAATGGGAGAAGTCCTCGCTAGGTTCGGGCTCTCATCGGAGGATGTGAATTCCTGGAGGCCCCACTTTAATTTTTCTGGCAGGGGCTTCACTCTATCGTGTTCCCCAATAACCACCACAGGCCGTGGTTGGGCAGAACTTTGCTGTGGCGCGGAGCCCTGCGAGGGCGGTCCACGTGGTTCCTAGTGGGGGAAGAGGGAGGGGGAGAGGGAAGAAGGAGGAAGAGGGGGGAGGGGGAGGGGAGTTGAATAGACTTTACAAATCCGGTGTGTGAGGTGCAGTGAGAAGACCACGGTAACCCACTGCTTAGAATTCGACCTGGACCGAAAGGTTGGGTGTTCATTCCTGACCGATTTGCCCCGGGCGATGTCGGGAAAGCTCTTCACACTGTGAACTCCTCCCCCTTCTTTCCAGGGTTTGGGTGTAAATGTATTGGCCTTTGCTGATTTCTGTTCTCAGGCCGGGCCCCTCCCTAAGCGCGAGGCCAAGCTGTTTGTAAATTCCCTTTGACTGAGGGGGTCGGGGCTTTAACTCTGGTCTCTAACTCCCTTTGGCCTGCGGCCCGGCTTCCGTTTGTGAAGTGAGAGATCCTGCCGCACCAGCTCTCAGGCGCCTCCCCCACCCCACTCCCAGGGCTCCCAGCTGTTCTTCCTTTTTATTTATTTTTCCTTTTATTTTTCGTTTTCCATTTTTAATGTGCCAGCTATAAACGGTGGAGAATTTTTTGTTGTTATGGACCATTCAAACATTACAATATGGTTATAAAAGGTGTTATGTCCTCAGGTTGAATCCACAGACTCGCTTTCTGTAACAAAAACCAAGGGCCGTTTGAAGATTTCCAGAACCATTTCACGATGGGCCGCTGGGCGAGGCCGGAATGCTCGTTCCTGTGGCCTGATACACGGTTATGCCAGTGAAGCCTCTTGGGGACAAGCTCTCAGGGACAACACCCGGCGCGGGCGGAAAACCAGGTTAAATTTCGGGGCTGGGATTACTGGGCCATTTTTCTGTGGCTAAAGGAAGGGGTTAATTGCTGTTCCCAGAACGGTAGGGAAAACCTTGGTGGGTTTCCTTTTTTGTTGTTTTATTGATTTCAGAGATGGGGGGAGAGAGAGAGAAGCATCAATGATGAGAATCATGGATCGGCTGCCTCCTGCATGCCCCCAACGGGGTTGGAGCTTGCAACCCAGGCATGTGCCCTGATCAGGAATTGAACTGTGACCTCCTGGTTCAAGGTCAACCCTCAACCACTGAGCCACGCCGCCCTGGCAGCTGTTAACTTGCTGTGTGCCGGGCGCTAAAAGGCCGGAGGAGCACAGGGGCCCATGGGGTTGAGGAACGGGTTTTAGACATGTGATTTGAGCGATGCTGGGAGACCGGTGGCTGCAGGGCGGGATGAGGCCAGTTGTTGGTCCCTTTTCCTGGGAGATATGAGGGTCTGCGGGTCCAGGGTCAGTCCAACGCTTGTCAGGTGACCAAAGCCTATTTCCAGGGCAGAACATTTCCAGCCTCCAAGGAAACTGGGTGTCATATCCAAGCGAGGCTTGCACTCGGGGCTGATTCTACACAAACTGAAGCCATGATGTCAGTCGTTTTTCATATGAGACACAATTTAAATCTTTTCCTTAGAGGCCCAGTTGTACAAATGAGTTCTGAAAGGGTCGGAGGTAGTGAGCCACCTGGAGAAGATGCTCAAATTGGAAGGATGTGGCACATCCTTTTGCACTTAAACACCAAGGTCCAGAATAGGATTAACAGTATGAATTTCATATTTACAATGATTTTTAATAAGAATGCCAAATCACAGTGAAAATAAGCTAATTTTAAAATGAGAAACATGCATTAACTTGGAGCGTTTTCCCATACAAGCAGTTTTTGTTTACAAACGTTTGAGGCAGACCCTAACAACTGTGCAGCCTCCAACATTTCCCTAAAGACGAGGATTAGCATTTTTCTGCCTGTGGGGCACCACCTATACCAGGGGTGGGCAAACTTTCTGACTCGAGGGCCACAATGGGTTCTTAAACTGGACCGGAGGGCCGGAACAAAAGCATGGATGGAGTGTTTGTGTGAACTAATATAAATTCCAAGTAAACATCATTACATAAAAGGGTACGGTCTTTTTTTTCAATAGTTTTATTCATTTCAAACGGGCCGAATCCAGCCCGCGGGCTGTAGTTTGCCCACGGCTGACCTATACACTCTTCCTAAATAAAATACATGGAGCCACAATCGTATTAAACAGAGCAATCATATTATCAAACCAACTTTTAAAAAATGTGACAATAGCATAGTAACTATATACTATGGAAATAAGGATAAATAGCATTTCAATACTCTTGTGACTACTGTAAATATTTGTGACTTTTACTGGCTAATCACTCACTCATAATGTAAATAAAACCAGTTTAACATTAAAGATGTAAAAAAAATTCTTTATAATCCAAATTCTGGCACTTTGATTTCTGTGTATGACCTCTACAATGCCCGTGGACACCAGACTTAAGAAACAACCTTTTGCCCGGCTGGCATGGCTCAGTGGTTGAGCATCAACCTATGACCCAGGAGGTCAGGGCACATGCCCGGGTTGTGGGCTCGATCCCGAGTGGGGCCCAGTGCAGGAGGCAGCCGATTCTCCTCGTTGATGCTCCCCTCTCCCTCTCTGTAATCAACAAAACCCCATTAGGATGACACCTCATAAAAGTAAAACGCAATGTGGCACTTGTCAAAGAAAAATTTGGGTATGTTGGGGCTCTGGGCAGCTCTCCACCCCTCTCTACATAGCACTGGCACTTCCGGAAAAGCCGAAGTTGACACAGGCACGAGGTGTTCTAGCAGAGGGTACACGCCGGCATCTGGAGCCGGGCAGCGTGGAGTATTTTAGGCAGAACTGCGCACATGTAGGTCCTAATCGGCCTGTCCGCGTCTAACCAAACATCTCATCGCACGCTTGCAAGGAGGTTGACCTGGCGGCCATGAACTCCCAGCAGCCCCCAGTGCTGTGCCGTTTTACTGTGACTTGGGTGGCTCTTAAAAGAGCCTTTGGGTTTATTTTGTGTCCTTTTTCTCTCGAAGATGGGCCTTTTACTTCTTAGAGGCTCCCTTCCTGGGCTTGGTCTTCTGCTGGGTCGCCTTGGGCCTCCCGGCCGTGGGCTTGTCGGCCTTGGCCTTGGCCGGGCTCTTCCGCGGGGGCCGGCCCTTGGGCCCCGCCGCCTTCCTGACGCCTCGGGCGGCCTTCGGGGATGCCGATGCCCGCGGCTTCTGAGCTCTCTTGTTGGCGCCGGAGCTCTTGGGGGACTTGGACTCCCGGGACAAGACCAGCTTCTTGCCCTTGGCGGCCGCGGCCTTCTTGACCTTGACCAGCTCGGGAACCGCCTTCTTGCTGAGCCGGAAGGAGCCCGAGGCGCCGGTGCCCTTGGTCTGCACCAGGGTGCCCTTGCTCACCAGGCTCTTGAGCACCAGCTTGATGCGGCTGTTGTTCTTGTCCACGTCGTAGCCCGCGGCCGCCAGCGCCTTCTTGAGCGCGGCCAGCGACATGCCCGCCCGCTCCTGGGACAGCGACAAGGCCTCCGTGATCACCTTGGACACCGACGGGCTGGGCGTCTTGCGAGTCACACCCGCCAGGCCCACCTGCTTCTTCCCTCGCTTCTTGATGTTCGGCTTCGCCATGAAAGCCGGGCCAGGCTCAGCCGGGTCCACAGGGGCCGTCTCGGACATCACAGGGCGGAGGGTCCACAGACGAGAGCCAGGGAGGAGGGTCAAGCGCCGGGAGGGGGGCCCTCACGCCTTATATAGGGCGGGGCGTGCTCTGATTGGTGCGTCGCCTAGGCCTCGCCCCGCCCCTCGCGGGGAGGAGCGTTTGTGTTTGTTTTCCCCCCAAAACTTGAAGCCCGCAAAAATCGTCTGCACAGAAGGGCCGGGTTCCTCTGCCGGAGGGTGCTTGGCAAGCTGGACTTCACACGCCTTCTCACCTTTTCCTGAAAAATGGCCCAAGATGCCCAAACGACTCCACAAAACCCTCAATTGTCAGCAAATTCAAGGAGAAGCTCCAGATTTCTTCTTTCCCTTGTAAACGTAACATTGCTTTTCGGCTGGAGACATATCCCACCTTTTCTCAGTGACCTTCCAAATGGTGGAGTGGAGAAAAGACATGAGTCCTGCCCCAAATTTCAGCGACAATTGTGCATGTGTGTGAAGGAACTAACACAGATCTCTTAGAGGCCTCCTGCAGAACTGGATGCTTCTAGAATCATCTAAAAGCTGCAGGGTCTGCCCTTGTTTGGACAAACACAATCTGATCAGCCATAATCTGCAAGGTGTGTGGGTTGCTTCTGACAAAAACCAGCCCTGGGTCCCTGCACCCTGATCAGAGAGCCGGAGGATGGAGCCAGTAGCACTGAGCTCACACATGGTGTCTCCCGGGCCCAAACCAGGTCACCCAGCCCGGCCAGCGAGGCTCAGGGGTTGAGTGTTGATCTGTGAACCAGGAGAAGCTGTGGTTCGATTCCCCATCAGGGCACATGTCCAGGTTGTGGACTTGATCCCGGGTAGGGGGCATGCAGGAGGCAGCCGATCCATGATGCTCTCATCATCATCATCATCATCATCATCTCTCTCTCTCTCTCCCTTCCTCTCTGACATCAAGAAAAACATATTAAAAAGAAATAAATCAGGTCACCTTCATGGCAACCACAGACCCAGACCAGGCCCAGGCGTGGCTGGCAGGTGTGTCTGCAGAGCTGTGGGGCGCGAGGTACGGGGACAATTGTCCGGGATGTTTCTCCGCGTTTCCTGGAACTCACCGTAGGGAGAGGTCAGGATCTGAGTTTGCTCTCGAAGCTGGGGCCTCCCGGAAGGCCGCCGAGGGAGCAGAGCCGGGGGTCAGGGGTATGGGGGGGGGGGCAGAGGGAACCCCGGGAAGATGCCCCCCTGCTTGCCTGAGGAACTGGCAGCTCTGCAGACGGCAGAGACGCGAGAGGTTTTCCAAGAGAAGGGTTGTGTGTTGTTGCGGTCGTCTTGATACAGTCAAGAGAGCCTTTCTCATGGGGAAGTTAGGAGGCGTATGAGATCAGGTGGCCCTCGCCGGTTCGGTTCAGTGGATAGAGCCTCGGCCTGTGGACTGAAGGGTCCCCAGTTGGATTCCCGGTCAGGGCACATGCCTGGATTACGGGCTGCAGGAGGCAGCTGATCAAGGAGTCTCTCCCTCTCCCTCTCCCTCTCCTTTCCTCTCTGAAATCAGTAAGAATATATTTTAAAATGTGTATAAAAGAGACAAGGTAGGTGAGAGTAGTTTCAGTTGAATGCAGCCAAACACAGTTTTTTCACTCCAGCAGAGTCCTGGGCAGAGAAGGCACCTGATAAATATTAGGTGTCTATTTTGTTGTAGTTTTTTTAACCTAAGATCCTATTTATTTTTACATAGTGCCTCCCCGTGGAACAATTATAATTATGTCCATCGTTTTTCAGCAGATTATTTCTTATGGGGTCATAGCTAAGAAAAATGTGTGAGGGGGGAAATTACCCTCACTAATAATGAAATAAGTAAAACTTCCACACAAAAAATTTGGCCTATCAGGTTAACAGTGCTTTAAAAAAAAATCTGTGTAAATATGAGTTCTGTAACAGAAATTTCCATATTATGTTGGGATTATTAATTGGCATGGCCCTTCTGAATGAAAAGTTGGTAATGTGTATTAAGAGCCTTGAAAATGATTTTACCTTGTGGTTTAGTATTTCTACTTCTAGAATTCTATCCAAAGGAAGTAATTGAATATTAAAACATAGATTTATGTACAAAGATGTGTGATTTGTATGATCTATAATGCATAAAGATGGAACTCAATCTAAACAGCCAATAACAGAAGAGTAATTACACAAATAGCAACATCTATAAAAATTGTGTTTCTAAGCATATTCCCTAGAAAATTGTATGTATGTATGTATATATATATATATACATACATATATATATATATATATCATGATACCTATATTTGCTTTATATATTTCTCTTTTCACAAATTTCTACAATGGCACATTTAATATTTTTATACTCAGAGAAAAAAAATGATGTTTTAAGCCAGGTTCTTAATTATTCTTCCACAATTGTTAGAAATATGCCTTTATTTTCTAGTATTTCTCATTTTCATTGGCTAGTGAGATGCCACTGTGTCCAGCAGTAACCAGTGACGGGGAAAGACGTGTCTAAAGCCCATTTGCTCCTCCTGTAAAAAGGGAAAGATTGGTTAATTCACTTCTATAATCATCAGATACCTGATATTGTACTAGACTCTGAGAATAGCAGTCATAATGGTGATAGGCAATTCACTGGGGTTTGTTCTGTGCCAGGCACTGTTCTAGGCACTTTGTAGATCCAGCAGTGCATTTAACCTGCGACAACCTCCCATCATTCTCTCTGATTTTGGGGATGAGGACAGGAGGGCGAGAAGAGGTAGAGTTTCCGAAGAGACACAGCTATTGGATGTTAACCCACAACCCCTAGCACTTGAGTCTATGTACACTCTTAAATAAAGGACGAATATGATCTAGTCAGTGTCCTGTATTTACATTTAAGCTGTCTTTATACAATCAATTTTAAAAAATATATTTTATTGATTTTTTACAGAGAGGAAGGGAGAGAGATAGAGAGTCAGAAACATCGATGAGAGAGAAACACCGATCAGCTGCCTCCTGCACATCTCCCACTGGGGATGTGCCCGCAACCCAGGTACATGCCCTCGACCGGAATCGAACCTGGGACCCTTCAGTCCGCAGGCCGACGCTCCATCCACTGAGCCAAACCGGTTTCGGCTATAAAATCTATTTTTTAAAATTTTTTTTATTGATTTCAGAGAGGAAGGGAAAGGGAGGTAGAAACATCAATGAGAGAATCATTGATGAGCTGCCTCCTGCATGCCTCCTACTGGGGATCGAGCCCACAACCTGGGAATGTGCCATTGACTGGAATAGAACCCGGGACCCTTCAGTCTGAGACCTCCTTGTTCATAGGTCAGCATCCACCCTCTGGGCGAGCTCAGACCCTATTGGGTGACAGCTAGACAATCAAAGACAATCAAGTGGAAACTGTGGCAGTTACCCCAGAACCACGGGAACGGCTGGTCATGGAACCCTCCCGGGAAGGCCGGGCCAAGCAGATGCCTGCAGGGTGAGGAGGAGTTTTCAAGGCAGGAAGGAGGGAGCAGGGGAACCTAACACAGAGGCCCAGCATATGTGGGAGGCAGGAGACGGAAAAGCAGGGTGTGGGCAAATCTGGCTGCAGAACAAGAGAGAGAGGAACTAGAAGAAGAAAAAAAGAAGAGAAAAATAACAAACAATCAAAAAGACGGGGGAAGGAGAGAGAGAGAGAGAGAGACAGAGACGAATGAGGCCACAGGCAGTGCGCTGGGCAAGGCCCCGTCTCACCGTGGGTCAGGCATTTGGAAAATCTTAAAAGCAAGTTCAGGCCCATCCCAGAGCCTACACTGCTCGCGGTGGAGCAACGCTGCACAGCCAAGGCGCTAGCACCATCTGTTTCTGGTCTGTGTTTCACAGCTGCTATCTCATTCCACCTTCACCCCATCTTCCCCAGTCGGTAATTACTAACACCGGCAGGCTCAGAGAGGTGCGGTTGTCATAGTAACTCCGACATTTAGCTAATTGTTAACACATCCTGTGCTGCAAACAGGTGTGAAAGCAATAGATTGGTTTCACCCAACAATGTTAACAAGATAATTTACAGCCCCAACCGGTGTGGCTCAGTGGATATTGCATCGGCCTGTGGACCAAAAGGGTCAGGGTTCGATTCCAGTCAAGGGCATGTACCTCGGTTGCAGGCTCCTCCCCAGCCCGGGCCCTGGTTACACATCAATGTCTCTCTCTCTGTCTTTCCCTCTCTCTAAAAAAAAAAAAAAAAAAAAAAAATCAATGGGAAAATATCCTCGGGCGAGGATTAAAAATAAAAATAATTTTTAAAAGATAATTTATAAAATAGAAAGGGGGAGAAAAAGATCCTCAGACTGTCTAGGAACAAGATACGGCCGTACATTATTTTCTGTAGAAAAGAGCTTCCTTTGAGCAATCTGTTCTTGCAGGAACCAAGAAGTGGCACAGAAAACTATTAGTGCTTTTCCGGAAACTCCAGGTTGCTGGGGGAGTCGTGGCAGCTGCCGGCCTCTGGGTGACCAGCGATGGGGCTCAGCCACAGTTGTACCATTTCCAGCATCAAAATATCTCAGCCCGGCCTCCCCCCGTTTGGTTTCATAAAGGGAGTGATCATGTGGACTTCAGTCTCTCTCTCACATTGAGTCATCTGTATATTAGAGGAGGAGGGCAATCACACATAAATACTTGAAATCCGAATTGTCTCCAAATATTTAATTGGCTTTTCTCAATGAGAATAATCAGTTTCAAAGATTAGTTCGATTCCGTTCCGTGAAATCAGTGTTTCTTAAAAACGATTTGCAGCTCGTCAAGGGCACATGTTGACAGTCACTTCAGTTCTCGTTTCCCTCTTCCTGTTAGTGTCTTGTGTTTGCCTTTCATCCAGCTCCAGAACAAAGCTTAGAACATAGCCATGAGCTCATGTAATGACAACTCCAGTTCCAAAGTATACTTACCTTATCAGCATAAATAAGACAATACATATTTTACTGAATTCACTGTATTAACAAATAGTAAGAAATTCCTACTGTGGATGAAAAAAGGGGCCACATGCTCACCTGACTACCTCCGGGAAGGCCTGCTTGGAGGCCTTGCCAACTCCAGAGACCTGAAGCGACCACAGAGGAGGGTCTGAAATTAAAAACCTTTAGTTAAAAAGCAGCTTATGGTGGGTAGTCATGTCCTAGGCCAGTGTCCTCCCTGACAAAGACCAACTTCCGTCTTTCCTGAGCCTGTTGTCCTTTTGCATCTAAGGTAACACACCTCAGGAAAGTCAGGGTAACTAGTAACTTCCATTTCCCCACCCCTCAGGGCACAGCTGGCCACCAGGGCGGAGACCACAGGTTCCCTCACTGTGACTGTTAGCCTGTTAGTTGCTGACTGTAACTCCCCTGCACCCACCTGCGTAAAGGCAGCCTGTGTCCATCATTTCACTTTTATCCGATCCCAGGGTCCCCCCCCCCCCCCCACACACACACCTCCGCTTTGCTTTCTCCCGCCTCTCTCATCATCGCCAATAGATTTCATGTGACCCGCTCATGGCTCCGCCTTTGACGGTGATTTATTAAACAGCGCGAAAACCGCCATCTCCAGAGCGCTGTCCCGACGCACTGAGATCCGGCTTCCCTGCAAGTGTCGACAGTTTGGCTCAAATAAACCCCCAAATTCTTCACAGGTTGGGACGATTGTCACGTTAACACAGTCATGTGAACACAGTGTGGCTGCGCCAGGAGGGAGTGGTCGCGTGAATGAGGGGGCTGCCCACGTGAACGCGGGGCCATGGCCCGGGAACAAGAATTCTACTAATTTTAAGAATGTCACTAATGCTGTGGCCCCGCCCCATCACAAAGAAACAGAATTTCCGGAGGATGAGGCCCGGAAATCAGGATGTTAAAAAGATTCCCAGGTGATTGTAACGTGCAGCCAAGGCTGAGAACCACTGATCTAGTCCTATTTACAATGACTTTTTCCTTCTCTCTCCTAACCGGGGAGGACATGACAGCACAGGAATTTAGAGCGATGGAGGCACGCACCTTGGAGGCGCTAGGCACTGGAACTTGAAGCAATCAGTGGGGTTTATGGGGCCTCGGCCAGGGCCTTGCACATGCGTTTCCACCCCAACGAGGCCAGGTGACACCCTTCCCCAGGCATCCGTGAGGAGACAGCTGCTTTCCAACGGAGACCCCTGCCTAGTGCCAAATCGATCTTGGAAAAAACCACAGGATCCTTCTAAAGCACACAGCATTTTATCCTAAATTGTAAAAGCCTGTTTTTGTAATTGTAAACCTCATTTCCTGTAACCATTTCCATGTTTTTTTAAGTACTTGTGATTTCGTTAGTTACATTGTTCATTTTTCTTATGTTTTCACTTTTAGGTAGACAGGAAGAGGAAGTGAAAAATATCAGTGAGAAAGACACACATCGGCTGCCTCCTGCAGATCAAGCCCACAACCCAGGCATGTGCCCCGATCAGGAATCAAACCCGGGACCTCTTGGTCCATAGGCGCTCAATCCACTGAACACCACCAGACGGACACCCCCCATGTTCCTAACAGAAAGCACCACTTAACCCAAGGTGGGGAGACCGCATGCTAGGTTTGGGAAAAAAGTGAGTTACTTTGCGCTGAAGTCTTGGCCGGGAGCAAGGATCACACGTACATAAGGGCGGGCCCCATCTCCCAGCCCACAGCACCTTCGTGGTTGGACCTGTATGACCTGTTTTAACCAACCTTCAGGGCTTTGCCGCAACTAGATCACCCAGTTTTTCAAGTTTCTGCCTACAGCGCTCTTCGGAAAACGTGGGTGGCTCTGAAAAGAGCCTTTGGGTCAGGAGCCAGGCCGCGTGCTCGCGCCTCACTTGGAGCTGGTGTACTTGGTGACGGCCTTGGTGCCCTCGGACACGGCGTGCTTGGCCAGCTCGCCGGGCAGCAGCAGGCGCACGGCCGTCTGGATCTCCCGGGACGTGATGGTTGAACGTTTATTGTAATGCGCCAGGCGCGACGCCTCGCCCGCGATGCGCTCGAAGATGTCGTTGACGAACGAGTTCATGATGCCCATGGCCTTGGACGAGATGCCGGTGTCGGGGTGCACCTGCTTGAGCACCTTGTACACGTACACCGAGTAGCTCTCCTTGCGGCTGCGCTTGCGCTTCTTGCCGTCCTTCTTCTGCGCCTTGGTCACCGCCTTCTTGGAGCCCTTCTTCGGGGCGGGCGCGGACTTGGCTGGTTCCGGCATTCTGAAACCTCAAGAGACTTGGAGGAAAATGCGGCTGGAGTGGAATCTCCGCTACTTATAGGGACTTTATGCTAATGAGGGATTCAGAGATCCTCTTAGTTCATTGGCAGACAGACGCCAAGGCTGTCATCCTTGGGCGGGCCTATGCAAATAAGGTATGGAAATTAGAAGGTCCTATTGGTTATGTGACTGAGTCTGTTCCTAGCTAATCAGACACCTCGATTTGCTCCCAGGACCTGCCTATAAAAACGGCCATGTTCCACCTACTCCCAGAACTGGTCTGCTCGGGCGAGTATTCCCCTTTCGTTTTGCAAAGACCTTTCTTCTTTTTCCAATGTCCGGCCGCGGCAAGCAGGGCGGCAAGGCGCGCGCCAAGGCCAAGTCTCGCTCCTCGCGGGCTGGGCTGCAGTTCCCCGTGGGCCGCGTGCACCGGCTGCTCCGCAAGGGCAACTACGCCGAGCGCGTCGGGGCGGGCGCGCCCGTGTACCTGGCGGCGGTGCTGGAGTACCTGACGGCCGAGATCCTGGAGCTGGCGGGCAACGCGGCGCGCGACAACAAGAAGACGCGCATCATCCCGCGCCACCTGCAGCTGGCCATCCGCAACGACGAGGAGCTCAACAAGCTGCTGGGCAAGGTGACCATCGCGCAGGGCGGCGTGCTGCCCAACATCCAGGCCGTGCTGCTGCCCAAGAAGACCGAGAGCCACCACAAGGCCAAGGGCAAGTGATTGGACGGGCACCGCAGCTTCCGGAAGCGCTTTGAAACCCAAAGGCTCTTTTCAGAGCCCCCTACCCACCTCCTAGGAAGAGCTGATGTCACTTTAGGTTAAAGGGGGAAAATGCACAGGAAGGTAAGCTTAGCTTCGCCAGAGCTATGGGGTACAAACATTTTCTTTAAAGGAAAGGCTCAGTGTTGCTAAAAATGGAGCAGCCTGTATAGGAAGTGGCAGGCGATGTGCTCTCGAAATAAACACGCATTTCAAACAGTCGCAGAACCTGGCTGGTTTCCGGAACCCCTTAACTGCAGCCCTGGGTTGAGGTCTGTAAACTTCAGGTTGCAAATGACAGGTCGGGGGAGGCGAACTTCCCCAGCGGGTGCGTAGACGCCCCGCCCGGTCCCGAGGGCGTTAGTCTCGGCTCCGGTTAAATAACAACCAAGCACCATCTTAGAAGCTTCCGAGGGCGGGGAACGGGCCCCTGAGACCGGCTCCCGGGCTGGCGGAGAAGACAGCCGGAATCTAGAGCCGAGCGGCGTCTTCTCCCCACTGACCAGGCTGAGACTGTGGCCAGTTCATAACCCCCGGGACTCGGTTCTGTCGCTTGTAAGTCGGGGGTAAGTTAATGGCGTCTTTCGCTTCTTGGGTCAGTTAACCATTTAACGCCCCTAACCTGTAGTTGAACAAACTACATTTTATACAACTAATACGTGCTGTGCTGGGATTTCAGTTCTAACGCCCATGTTCCCAGCGCAGCTGGAAAAGGAACACAGCAGGGCCTTTCGCTCCCCCCCACAACAGTTGGCAGGGATCCGATCATTCAGCTGCATCAACCCCAAGAAGCGCCGATCTGGACGGAGGGAAAAAATCCTTAGGATTCTCAGGCGGGCGCGGCTCAGTGGTTGAGCTCGACCTATGAGCCCGGGGGTCGTGGTTCAATTCCTGGTCAGGGCACAGGCCCGGGTGGCAAGTTCCATCCCGTGGGGGGTGTGCAGGAGGCAGCCATCAATGATTCTCTCTCATCAGTGATGTTTCTATCTCTCCCTCTCCCTTTCTCTCTGAGATCAATAAATATTATTTTTAAAGAGTATTAGGACAGTATTTTCCAGGATTGAATCTCACCAAGGTTTTCTGGTTGGCCCATCCCCCTATACCCCACCCTCCCTCTCTTCCCCCCTCGCCATGCAGCCACTTCTTGTGCTAAAGCCTCCCGTTGAGCAAGGGGTGGGGTGGGGGGGGAGTGCGATTCTAATGGGACTGAGCTCATCAAACTGGGCTTTTGCTAAAGGCCCAGGCCCACTGAGACCAGGTTCTGTCCGCCCAGCGCTCCTTGTAGGTTGAACTGGGATCCTTGGTTCGGAATTGCCTCACCTGGGCCTCAGGACCCTTTTCACTCACCGTCCAGGTTGCCTTCGAACCCAGCCCCGACTCTGACCAGGTGTGTGAGCTGGGCCAGGTGTTGGCGCTCTTGCCTCCTCCGCGTCTTGGCTCGCCTGTGGCTGGAATGGTCAGCAGTGTGGGTTCTGAGATCAGGGCAGGGTGCTGGAGAGCCACCAAGGACATAAGCCCTCCCTGGGTCAGCCACATTGGTACCTGACCCCAGCCTATGAGCTCATTTTCCCAACCCCCTTCGAGGTAAATCCTCTCCTATCCTGATTTTATTTTATTTTAAATATTTTTTTTTGCATTGATTTCAGAGAGAGAGAGTGGGAAAAAACATCGGTGAGAGAGAAATATAGACTGGCTGCCTCCTGCATACCCTCTACCAGGGATCAAGCCCACAACTCGGGCCTGTGCCCTGACCGGAATCAAACGCAGGACCTCTTGGTCCATGGGGCAATGCTCAATCCACTGAGCCACACCAGCTGGGCCCCTATCCTGATTTTAAAGCTGAGGAAACCAGAAAAGAGGGAACAATTTCTGTGTCCCTCGGTCAGGAAGCCAGTACTTCTAACCCCTGGCTAGTCTATAACTCCTGCCTCTAAGACGTTATAGCCAGAACAAGAAAACTGATAAAAACTCTACACATAATAATAGGTCAATTTTGCCAACATACCATAATGTTACAAATGGCATCCTAAACTCCGGCAAGAAGAGAAGGGAAGGAGGCGAGATGTCCCTGGAGTCTCCATAGATGGCTGTGTGCGCAGGGCACACCAGCAAGAAGCCACATGCCTGGTGTAGCCTGTGACAAGGGAAGCAGGGGGACAGGTGGGCAATGGCTTGGGAACGGACTGGATGAGCTGCTGTGGCGAGCCGTGAAAGGAGTTAGCGGATACTTGGGTTTGCAGTCGCTCCTCCAGGCACCAAAGCCCGACCTTTCTATTTAGTTACTTAGTTGGGAATGATACACTGTGTTCGTTTCACTTGTTTATTACGTTTGCAGCAAGACCTTCAAGTCAAGGACCCCATCTTGTTAAAATGCTGATAGCGCACCCTAACTGGTTTGGCTCCGTGGCCAGAGCATCAGCCTGTGGACCATGTTCAACCCCTGGTCAGGGCACATGCCCAGATTGCGGGCTCGATCCCCAGGGTGGGTCGTGCAGGGGGCAGCCGATCATTGATTCTCTTTCATCATTGATGCTTCTATCTCTCTCTCCCTCTCTGAAATCAATAGTAATAATAATAAAAAGTTGGTGGATAGCATAGAGGCCCTGGCATGAAATCGACACTTGAGAAAATCCGCTGGTGAACAGTAAACTCAGTGGCTTCCCTTGACCAGGTCTCTACCATGTCCTCAGGGGAGTGGATGAGCGTGAAAAACCCAGGACCTGCAATCCCTGAAGATCCCCAGGTACCAGGGACGAAGTTGATCCAAGGCCAGCATGTCAAACTCCCGGCCCCCGGGCTGCATGTGGCCCACAGGGAATATTTCTGCAGCCCAGCCAGTTTAACGGTGCGCAGTTACTCACAATGATGAAAGGAAATAGGTCTCCTGTCAGATCCAGAATCATTGACGTTCACCTGGGGTCAGTTTTGAAAGTAATCATTGCCAACAAGGTTTCCCCCGAAGTAGGAGAGAGAGTAGCAGAGATGCCAAGTGTCAGGAAGAAAACATGCATTTTATCATTGCTCTTGTACTTTTTTTTAAATACTATACTTTTTTGTAAATAAACCTACGTTTCTATGAGAATGGAAGCTTTTGGTTGTTTGTTTGTTTTTGTGGCCCACACACACTTAAGCCTTGTTTATTTGGCCCGTGTTAGCCTTTGAGTTTGACATGCTTGGTCTACGTAAGGGGTTTACTGAGAAGCCGGGCTGAGGCCGAATCATCAGTGGGGTCTCTGGGGCGTCCCAGACGCAGCACATCCGCTTGACACAGCATCACTGTGTATTAGACCTCTTTTTATTATTTCAGAGGAAGGGAGAGGGAGAAAGAGAAATACCAATGATGACAGAGAATCACTGATTAGGCTGCCCCCTGCACACCTCCCTACTGGGGATGGAGTCTGAAACCTGGGCATCGAACCATGACCTCTGGGTTCACAGGTGGATGCCCAAGCACTGAGCTACACCGGCGGGCTAAACCTCTTTTTATATTTTCAACTCCTCTGTGCAGCAATACCCTTTCCTTCATCCCCACCCCTCACTTCCTGTTTTTTAATGTATCACTTGAACTCTTTTTTACAAGTATGGTAAGTTTTATTATGAGTTGCAAACAATCACATGTATTTTAAGGTTAGAATTACGTTAACATGTAAGGGTTTTTCATCTGTTGATCCTAATTTAGAATTACAGATGCAAATAACTATTCCTGTCAAGTATCATGTATGAGTATTACTGGAAGATGTTAGGAATTCCATGGAGGATCCCTCATGCAGACAGAAATTGACAATAAGGGGTCATATTTAGCTCAGGAATTCTCCCCCTCTGTTTTATTCCAAAACCTGAATATTGTACCAGACAGGTTAGCAGCACCAGATCTACCAAAAGACAGCCATCGCCTGCATTGACACCTAGAAACCGGCACCATTAATAAATAGACAAATCTCTGACAGGGGGAGGAACAGTATGATCATTGTTATTCCAAAAGAAATTAGAATATACCATGTAGACTTCAACAGAAGGTGACTCCAGGCAGGGAATCCATGTCTCCGTATTGACAACATGTCAGGACTCCACTGGGCTTCTCACTTGCCAGTTGCTGGGGTTGGAGTTTGGGCAGAAGGAGAACGTCCACATTTCCTGGGACGGAGGACGGATGCACCTTCCTTAGGGGTGAGGCTGTTTCTGAGAAAAGTAAGTGCTGAGTGAGCCGTAGATCCTGTGACCCGTTTGTTGCCAGCTGGAGCTGACACCTCACCGTGCTCTTCACTCAGGGACACCGGGCAGTGGCCGAGGGAAAATATACCCGAACACACAGCCGCTAACCGCCCGGCGGTAGGTTATGCACAGAGGGGACACCGTTTCTCTCCCCTCACACCAGCGAGGACTCAGGACTGCTGGGGAGGAGGAGCTGCCACTGTCCTATGAACTTTGCAGCAATTGTTCTGGCAATGTTGACTACAGATTATGATTCGACACACGGCCAGCCGACATAGCTCAGTGTCTCTCCCTCTCCCTTTCTCTCTGAAATAAAGAAAAATATTTATTTTAAAAATAGACACTTGGTCTTTTGTCCAACAAGGTAGCAGCGTTAGATGATAGGTAAATAAAAAGGGTAAAAAATAGATGTTTGGGAGAGAGGGTGTCTACCATCTAGAAACAAAAGCCCCACTAGCACTGGGTCACACGCTGGCTGGTGTGACAAAATCAACGCTGTGCCACCCATGTTGCCTGTCAGCTCTGCCTGCCCCTAAGGCACCAGGGACTTGCTGGGGTTACCTGGTGATGAGCTGGGAAGAAAGCTGCTTCTCTCCCCGCGGGAGGACCAGCCCAGGCTCCCAGGTGCTGGTGGGCGGGCCTCTGAGAGGACACCCACACGGAACATGTTTCTCCTTATCCAAGTCGGCTCCCTGCTTTCTTTCTTTTAAAAATACTTTTTAAAATATATTTGTATTGATTTCAGAGAGGAAGGGAGAGGGAAAGAGAGAGAAAGATCAATGATGAGAGAGAGAGAGTCATGGACCGGCTGCC